CATCATTTCTATTTTTAACTTATTTTATGACATAATTATTTACTTCGAATTATTAATCAAATTATTTGTAATAATGAGTCATAGAATTAGTAATTAGTAATTAGTAATTAGTATATAAGCTAGTATTACAGAAAATAGGATTAATAAGCATATTTTATTGAACAAAATATTGTAAAAGATTTAACTGTGGCATTAAAAAAACTGCATGATTCACAGAATATTTCTGATGGATTTCTTAATGAGGTAATTTATTTTATTAATATTAGTTTCAATTTTTTAAATATTATTGTCACAATTAAACATTTTATTTGTATTTTAGTTTATGAATTATATGAAGGTTCGTGATAAAGCAGATATAATCCATATTTATGGATTAACACAAGATCCAATTACAAAAGAATATATATTTATAATGGATTATATAGAAAGTGGAAGCCTTCACTATTATTTAACAAAAAATTTTAAAAATTTAAAATGGAAAGACAAAATTTATATTCTTAGACAAATTATTAATGGTTTAAATGATATTCATAAGGAAGAAATTGTTCATCGTGATTTTCATAGTGGTAATATTCTTCAATCAGATTTATATTCATATATTGCAGACTTAGGATTATCATTCATAGCTAGTCAAACACCATCACCAAATCGTATATATGGAGTACTACCATATGTTGCACCAGAAGTTTTAAAGGGGAACCCATATACAAAAGCATCAGATATATACAGTTTTGGAGTTCTGATGTCTGTAGTATCAACTGGCCAACAACCTTTTAATAATTTGGCACATAATGGACATCTTGCAATGGACATATGTGAAGGCAAAAGGCCTAGATTTTCATACAATACACCAAAATTCTATATTGAACTAGCATTTAGATGCATGTATGCTAATCCAGATAAACGCCCAACTGCTGGAGAAATTTTTAAGATTATTGAAATTTGGAATAATTTACTTAATGATCATGTAATAAATAATTTTGAAGGTTATGGATATTCAAAAGGACAGCAGGATGAAATAATTAGAAAAATGTTTGATAAAATGGATAAAATAGAATTTGATCCTTCAACAAATACTGGAACAATTCATCCAAGTGCTGTTTATACTAGCAAATCATTAAATTTTGAAAACCTTCCCCA